TATTATAGTAATTTATACCTTCGTTTTCTGGTTATTTCAATCCTTAAGGCAGCTTACAAACAATGTAAAATTACAGAGTATAAAACAACAAAATAAATACAATAAAACTAAACCAAAACTAAAATCACCCATTAAAAGTATATCTAAAGGCTGATTGTTGTATATGTGTTTGGAAAACTAGCAAATCAAAGGAAAAACTGGTCAAATCTTCTTCACTTAATACTTAGATTTCTAGATAGAGGGAATGTTTATAACTGGAATTGTATTCAATCATGATAGTCTCTCTGTGGTTTGCAATCTGAGTTTACACAAATTTAGCATGTATTTGAGATAGGCCTAAAACTCTGAGATTACCACTTTTATCTACTATGTTACACCAGTGTATACCAGGGTTCTAGAGATCTTCACTATAAGAAGCCTTACTTAATATCACTCATAACTGCTCCATGCATTTTAGACACCTGATGTTGTGGATTCTTCACCATCCACGCAGAGCCCTGAAGGCTTGGTAGGGGCTCTTATGCACGTGATGCAGAAGAGGAGCAAAGTCATCCACTCTTCAGGTGAGTTTCATATACATCTGTATGATATTTCTTAGCTTCAGGCTCATACGCTTACAAATACTTTCTCAAGTTCCCAAAAGTTCAGAGCTTTGTGATTATTTGGAACTATGAGAACAAAGAAAGCTCTGAGGGAGACCTGATGCCATTTTGTGAGAAGTGCAACTTCAAGTCATGCTGTGTTGTCCTGGTGTTGGACAAAAAGACATGGGGGTCAGGTCAACTGAAATGAGTGTCGGAGAGAGATCTATATATGTATATCCATATACCGTACAGCTCTGAGAAGCTGTTGTGCTGACATTCTTGAAATGCTATCCAGCTTTGGGTACCACACAGTATTTTCCTGTTCTTCTGCACTCATAGATGAAGATGAAGACAATGGCGATGAAGATGACGACGATGAATGGGATGACTGAGTCTAGAGATACATCTGACACCAAGTCTGATCCTTCTTTCAGCCTGTTGCCGTAGGCATTTAATCAGATGGTGACTTTGTAATTATTCCCCCCACAGCCTCTGCAGATATTTCTGGAATCCCACTAGGGCAGAGGCAGCTCTGCTTTAATGTAGGCAGCAAAGGGTTGTTATTTTCCCATCCTCCTGTTCAGCATCACTTAGGCCTAAGCATATTCTCCTCCCTTACCCATGCACCTGGATGCCTTTGACAGTTTTAGAAAGTAAGGTTGTAATCCTATCTTTTTGAACCCCCCAATTTTGACAATACCATTCATAATCTCCTGCATCTATTTTTCTAAGAGTTGTATCATCTTTCAGCCAACCCTCTCATTTTGCCTACCTAATTGCATTTCCCCCCGCCCACCAAAGTTTTGAAGCCAAAATGCAGGCATGACGATGACAAGAATGTAAGCAACTTCTCTTTATTTTTTTGAAATAAAATCCCTTGTACGTTGCTAAATCACACTGAAACTTTAGTTATCTAAATTGTTTGCACACCTTTCAAAATAATGTTTTCTCTTGCTTTAGCGTTTGGAAGGGGGAATTGACTTCTATACTTTATGACAAACATATGCCTATTTACATTTTACCAGAGTGAACTACCCTTATAATATATATACATATATATCAGACACATTTGTACTGGAAATTATAGTATTTTCAATGGATTTGATTCTGAGTTGTTCTTCTATTCCCAAAGAGGGAGTAATTTCTGTCATTTCTCTCCTTAAACCAGCATTCCCAGATCATATTAATCTTAGTGGTTTTCCAGCCACTTGGTTCAAATTGTTAAAGAGTACAGAAGAATTTTGCTGTGCTACCTGCGTTTATAGAAACTGTTTTCTGGATGGCAGCAGGTTTGGAATGGTGGCTGTCGACTGACACAAAGGGAAGATGGGAAACTCCCATTTCATAAACTGTTCAGGGAAAGGAAATGTATTTTTATCTGAATGTGGTTATTGACTAAAAATAAAAACTAAACCTAAACTTAATTTGAGTCATCAACTACTTTTTTAATATTGGCAGAAATTAATCATAAAATTTCTTTTTTATATAAGAACTTTATTAAGTATAAAAAGCATACAGGTCAAAGCAAACAAGAACTAATAGTCAGAAAGAATAGTAGAGAACAAAAGAGTTAAAGATAAAGAAGAAATACAGAAGTGATGAAAATTAAGAGAATATATAAGATCCTGTAGTTGAGATAACTGAAAACCCCTAATCATAAAATTTCTTTTTTATATAAGAACTTTATTAAGTATAAAAAGCATACAGGTCAAAGCAAACAAGAACTAATAGTCAGAAAGAATAGTAGAGAACAAAAGAGTTAAAGATAAAGAAGAAATACAGAAGTGATGAAAATTAAAGAAAAAGGAACAAAAGAAAAATTACAAAAAGAATGACTTCTGATTTCTTATACAGCAGATATAAATGAATCATATAGTGACCTCTTACGCTTAAACTACATTTCAACATACATATTTTGTATAACCTATTATTTTAACTAATCGTCAAATCCATAAATCATGATTTCATTTTTTTCTGTCTCCTGCAAAAAGTCCAAGAGGGGCTTCCAACTGGCAATAAAATTAATCAATGTTTTTCTCTAAACAAAGCTGTCAATTTTGCCATCTCAGCTAACTCCATCATCTTCACAATCCATTCTTCCATT